AATTCCCCAGCCAGCCATGCTGGCTGGGGAATTCTGGGAGTTGAAGTCCACGCATCTTAAATTTGCCAAGGTTGAGAAACACAGGTCTACACCATGCCATACCTCTGTGCAAATATTTTGGTCTCTTATATACCCCATTCCCCAGGCGACTTTAGTTCTTCAAAAAAAAAAAAAAATTCACATTTCTAAAAGCTGCATTATGGATGTTTTATTACACTTTAATTTTACTTGGATTACACTGTCAATTGCCATATAACTGTTGAATTGGCGAATAAGCAGCAGTTATAAATCTAACCAATAAAATAAATCAGGGGCATGAACAGGCACCCCGTCCCATGTTGTCCTCTTAAAACACATTGAAGAGATGTTGGCAGAAAGGGGGCAAAATGCTAATAGAGATATTTAACATAAATGTGTCATTGGTTTCAGAGATGAATGAAGATCCCATAATTCAGAAATACACAAAAAAGGGCTACAGTCTCTCAAGTTATGTTTTAACTCCCGAGGAGATGCATCTCCACGATTACCCTCTAGAAGGTAACCTGTCTTAGAATCCACATTTATTGTCCGGTTCTAGATCTCTAGAAGAGGGACGGGTCACGACTTTAATAGTTAGAATACATAAAACGATGGTCTGCATTTGGTCCTCTGTTCCTTCCAAAGCTGTAGCAGAACGATAGCTCTATAAGGCTGGTCTATGACCGTAATAAAGATTTGATTTGATAGCATTATGCTGGCGTTATTTCTCCCTGGTCCATGATTGGCACAAAAGTGTAGGATTCTGGCATCCATGTCTAGGGTCCAGCTACAGCACCAGGCTGGTTTTTCACACCTTTTGCAGACATGACATTTGTTCATTGCTTCTCCAGATTCTGGCACCTGCAGCCATTTTGTTCGTACCGACTGCAATGGCCCGGTCACCGACAGCAGCCCCCTCTTTGGACTGGACTGCGAAATGGTATTTCCGTTGTGTTTATTTACTTTCCATCCCATTGCAAAGGTTGGATCTCTGTAAGTAAGAAACAATTTCTCGTTTAGGGATAAAGATTTACCTTTAAGTCTTCAGTTCTCGATTCAGGGTCACACTCTAATCCGTGATGGAGTGCATGCAAAACTTCCCAACTTCATCTCCAGACAGGTGGGGGAAGGACAAAATTTGAGAGTTGGTGTCATTCCGCAAAGATGGACACATTTTGCGTCTATTGGTGGAAATGAATCTGGGAATTTCACCCTTGGTTTGCAGAAAGGCCCTAAGCCTTCCGTTACAGGCTGAAATGCAAGGGTGGGCGATCTGCAGCTCTTGTTTGAAAAGGCCTGGGCAGGTCATCAGTTCAGACCACTGGGAAGTTCTTCCATGTGAAAAGGGACAGAAAGTGGGATATCAGGAAGAAAATGGGAAATGGCTGGTCCATCCAATGCTTCCTTAAACCATACTGGCATGACAAGCTTGCTCCATATTTTCCTTCTGCCAATCAAGTCCTCAACCCCTCCTGCATGCCAGAGCCAACCATGTGCAGATGGTCAAATTCTGTAGTGCAGCAATCTCAATCTCAGTGGCTTCCAGCAGGGTATGGGACTACATTTCCCATCTTTTCCAGGCATTACAGGAAGTCCATCAGATCAGCAAAATATTGGGGACAGGGGACTGCAGAGAAGCATCAGCCTTCCTTCACTCTTCCTTGGCTCTTTCCTTTTGCCCAGTGTCTCACAGATAAGGGGTCAGAGCTCACCCGAATTGCTGTGGTGGATTCCAGTGGTCGATGCATTATGAATGAGCTTGTCAAGCCCAAATTGCCAATAAGAAATTACCTTACCTGGTATGTTGTTTACATATATAACAATTGTAAAAGTTGGGCACTGTCCAGGATTTTGAATGTTTGGATACTGTAATTGCTTGAAATTAATGTTCTTCAGCAATCTGATATAGCTTTTAAGGCCAAACTACCCATTTAGATGAAGCATATGCACATCTGCTTGTTTTAAACTTTTACATGTAGCACCAGTGTGTATATACAGGAGAGGGTGGGATCAGGACTATGGTGTGGGCAGAAATTTATTCCTTTCCCTTTGAAAAATTCCCCATCCTTCTATCCGTCCCGTGCCAAAGCTGTTCTTTGCGTCAGTTGAAAAATGATCCCTTTCTGACCAGTTGCCTCCAAGGTTACAGGCTATATGCTATGTCAGGATGCAACCATCTCCTTTTCTAGCATGTGCTTGAATTGGTCAGAAAGGAAAGAAAGTTTGGTGGTTTCTCAAAATGGCATGAAAAGGAAGTAGCATTATCTTGGCTGGAATCTATAACCTTCTTGGAAGGCCCTTTTGGAATGTTTTATCTTCTTGGAAGGCCATGAATGTTGTCTTGGTTGTGTTTTGAAGTTACTCTGGCATCACAGAGAAACTGCTCCATCCCGTCCAAACCACCCTCGCAGAAATCCAGGGCCGATTAAGGAATCTATTGCCCTCTGATGCCATTTTAGTGGGTCATTCCTTAAATGCTGATCTTCGAGCTCTAGAAGTGAGTATATCCACTCAACAATATTTTCTTCCCACCCATCCTTGGCCTAAGGGATGGGCTTCTGATCCAGAAATTGTCTACAGCAGGAGAAAATTCTGGGTCCCAGTTTGAAGGTGTCACAGATGGTCAATATGTCGTTTTTTGTTTAAAGGCCCATGTTTTTAAACACCTTTCATTTTCCCCCCCCAACACTTCCAGATGATTCATCCGAACATTATAGACACTTCGCTTCTCTTTGCCAGAAAAGGTGGCAAAAGGTTCAAGCTGAAATTCTTAGCAGCAGCTGTTTTAGGGTAAGAAGACTTGTGTTGGGTTTCTGCCTCCAGACACATCTCCTAATGCTTTTCAATTAGGACATTTTTGAATTGCTCCATCGTGAAAGAAATTTCAGATGGAGGATAGGGTTGTTTACAGATAATTAAGTCTTGATATCCTGTTTGTTTAACTGGGACTCAGCCCCAACTATCCGATCAACCTTAATTAGTTAACATTTGCATAGACAGGTAGGATTGTGCTAGAAAATTGGCTTGTCAGCTGTTGCAGGTACATTGTCAGCAAGACTAAGATCCCTCTCTTTTGCTTACGTTGCTCTGAAAATCTCCAGGTTCATCAGTTTTCCCTAGCCTGACTGGGCGTGATGGGACTTGTCATCTAAAACTTCTAGAGGGGATGGCACAGTTTGGGAATGGCACTCAACAGAGAAACACTTTATGGGGTGATTTTAGGCCATGTCAGGTTCAGCCCAAGAATCACACGAGAGTCTGGAAATCAGCTCAGCTTCTTTATTAGCTTGCACCTAATAGACAGAATCTC